AAGGGCGGGTGAGGCTGGGTGGCGTAATTTTCAGTGAGGCGCTGGTGTGCCAAATAAACGTAAACAGCGACACGCATCCGTACCTTTCGTCCCCTCAGCGAGGATTCACGCATACTACACGTTCCAATTGAGTAAATAATATCCTAATATGTTAAACATTATTCTCTCTCAGTGGGAAAAGCAGAAATTCGTCCCGAAGCTCATTTAAACCGCGCATATATGTGAATACTCCACTTAGGCCCCTCTTTATGATTTCCGGCCATCCTAAAGGAAGATGAGAGTGAAAAACACTGCAAAAAGAAGTCCCTCAAACCGGGATCGAACCAGTGACCTCGGGATTACGTAAGCATTGCCTTTACAGTCCCACGCTCTTCCAACTGAGCTATCGAGGGTTGGAACTGAGTACTCGTGCTCCTAGTATGTTGTATCACACATGACAGCACCTATATATATTTAGTCTTTTAAGGAGTGAGAGTCAGCCCACTCCTGGTGGTCTTAAATTAGCCCAGCTCCGTCTGCAGTTCTGCGCCTTTCCGGCTGGACTACCAGGGGTACCGTACCAGCTGAGGAGGTCGATCACGTGCTTGCTGGTCCAACCATAACAATTAACGCTCGGACATGCAACGATAGCCTAAATGCGCGCTGACTAAGGCCTTAAAGCTTCAGAAACCCCCATAAGAGGACCTTGTACCCAGGAGAACTAGTTCGCAAAATGCCGAAGACTCAAAAAGTGGGGCTGAAATGACACATATCCCGAGAGGTTAGCCACCAAATACCTTACCGAAACATTAGGCAAGAGACTCAAAATAATTATAGCATATTCTAGTACACATCGTGCTTGCTAGATGTCACTATATGCGCAAGAATAGCCACACCTGTCGGCTCCTCGATTCAAAGCGATATCTAGGTGATATAGCTTAGTTCTGATAACTCCGAATACAAGGCTGAAATCCCGCAAACCTGTGCCCATGATCGTAAATCAAGGCCAAAGGCTCCGTATTTTTGTACAGATTCAGGTAACACGTATATGGGATCCTTTATTGATATACATACAACTGAAAAGCACCTAGTGCGCTACCTAGGGTAACTGACTATAACAGTACATAACTCCGTAAATCCGCGTCTAACTGACCCCCTCTACATTGTTTATCACTATACGTACTAGCTAGACAATAGCGGGTCAATTTCAAGTGGATCAAGCACATGTTTCATTCAGCTATTACATGCAGATCATGCTCGTCCTAGATCTTTCATTCTCCCATCAACAATCGGCTTGACCACGACTAGATCGATTTTGCCTTTCGACGCCATCGAACCGGAAGACTTTCCACACCTCGCCAACGCTCCATCATACTTGTCAATATCCGTCATATGCTCTTGCTGTGCGATTCGGAGGGCGTCACCAATTTCATTAATGGTGTGCCCGGTTGGCGCCCGTTGACGCTCGAAATTGACAATCATCTCGGTGGCTTTCAACCAGCGTTGTTTGGCCTTGGAGAGTGTACTTGGAGTCGCAGCGGACAAAAACTTAGATGGACTGTGTTGCTTTTGGGCCTTGAACGTGTGGATGTATTGTGAACCTGCCAGGAAATCATTTTAAATAATCCACTGGACGCTAGACGATAGACTTACCCAACAGATATCGTCGAACGATCGAGCTCATGATGATTCCATTCTCGTCATCAATTAGATATTTTTTTCCCTTCAAGGCCTCATAGCCATCGTGGCCAGAAGCCATATATTCGCGGGTGACGATTCGGTACACTTGGCTATCGTCACGTTCTAGTGGCCTGCCGTTCTTGCTGTGGACGGAGCCATCCGATGAAACTTCTTGTTCTGCGAACCAAATTCCTTTGATACGATTACCAGGCGGGAGTCGCGAGTCCCATTCGATACGGAATCCTGATACGATGGGAAAGCGCCTACAGCGGGAATGAGCCTATCTCCACGATTGTTTGGCCAAACGTACCCTTCTTGGGCCGGCCAAGTCGACAGAGCCGACTCCAAGGCAGTCCAGATTGTTTTCCCGTCCAAGGCTTGGACGACGATGGGATCCTCGAACGGGAGAATCTCCAGGAGATCTCCAAGAGTAATTTCACCTACGCATATACTTAGGCTTGTCTCATAAACGAGTGTTAACATCATACCAGGACCATAAACAGAGTCACCTCGCAAGGTCCCACCACATATCAATACGCCATCCGCGACCCCTCCTGCCTTGACGCAGAGGGCATCGTCGTACGCATGGCGAAGGACGTCTGCCATCCAATTTCCCAATGAAGACTGGAATATGTGAGCTAACCGAACAACATCTCGCCAAAACACTGACCTCGTCTGTTCGAACCAAGTCCGACTTAGCATTCCATTCTGTCAACGACTGACAAATAGGCTCCGAGAGCGAGGAAGACACTGATTCAAGTTGTTTCTTGAGGACTTCTGCTAGAGAGTCCGACGGAGACATATCGGGCTTCACGGCTCGTCGCGCCCCTACATTGCAAGGTTAGGTTGTAGTATATTGTTCAGATAGCATACATACCGCGAATAGACTTGATCAATTTGTTACGGACACTACCCTCAGGCGTGTCTTCTAGCTCGAGAGTCAAATCGCTCAAATCGCGAAAGTCTGTGCCACTCTTAACGAGGCTAAAACACTCTTGAGCATTGATCAAAGGTTGATGTTAGGTACTCACAATACCCCATCGTCCTCTTCGCTTCCTAGGCAGGTGCTGCCAAGATCGTAGTTTTCCCAAGACGCCGCTCCACGCCCAATATAATACCTAGAGTTTTTTAGATACAAAGGCAAGCGCAGAGATCAAACCTACATATGATCATGTCCTCCAAATAGCATGTCGGCTCCGTGCGAGTTCGCGGCATCTGATGACATTTGCGAGTGTGCAAATACTGCTTTTGCTAGCTCAATGTCCTGTCGGGTCACTGGTTCAATTTATCCCGTTCTGCCCCCTCCTTATGACTTACATTTGGCAGCCTACGCAACGAGGTTATTATAAAGTTTACTAGAGCGCCAAAGATTGATTTACCGTGCGTGTGTGAGCGCCAGGATAATATCACACTTGTGTGACCCATTCGGGTCGCGAAGCTCTTCGGAAAGGTTCTTGGCAGTATCTGCCATCGATTGATACTTGAAATTAGCTGGCCACGAGGAGACAGTCGCAATCCATTCTCTACATAAAGTTATATGCCGGGCAAATTGAATAAAAGCGAGCGTAAGCTTACTCTTCAACTAGCCCAATAACGCCCACTCGAACTCCACCTCGTTCAAATACTTGATAACGTGTAAGTTTGTCAGGTACAGTATTGGTGTCGGTATCAATGATATTGCTTAAGATCCAGGGCTATAAGTTCGATCAGCTGCAAGAAAGTCAGAATGAGGTTGGAACGTACAAAAGTGCAATCGTTTATGAGTTTACACAAATGTGGGTACCCAAACTACGAGTGAGCAGAGGCGCATTAGAGTAACATACGGCGAGTTTACTGTAGCCCTTACGTCAAAATCGTGATTCCCTATGTAGTCCGGCAGGTCTTAGTCACACGCCATGGCACTTGCAAGGCAACTGACCTGTGAGTGCAACATCGGGTGCTATATTGTTCATTACTGGGACCTGAAATAAGTTAGTTTAAAGCTGAAAAGGCGTAATGGAGTTCTTACCATATGGCTACCACGCGTCACAGTCGATTCAACGCTTGGGCTAAAGAGGTCGCCGCTAAACAGCACTAGGCCATCCCGTTTTCCATCAGAGCGTTCATTCCAGCTATTGCGTACAGAATCCAAAAGTCCAGCGAACTGCGCGACATCTGGGACTCGACACGATTGACATGCGTTGCTTTACTCAAGCACGTAGCATACCTATTGTGCTATTCAGGCCCTGAATTTTTTGTTTTGTAACGCGATATACTAGGTATTCGTGTTAGGTACAGATGAAATTTACTCGGAATACACATGCCATCGTTAAAGTGGATCAAGGACAAGCTTGACATGTCGTAACGCGGGTGGTGTGGTTGGTCGAGGGGCTCGGTATTTGCAATTGGACCACGCGCCGATCATCAATTAGCAATTTCACACCTAGCGATCACAAGCAAAATGCCGCTTAGAGTTGGTTACGTTCCCGAGCACTTTGCTTCGCCTCTGCTCCAGGCAAGTATACGTAGACACCAGCCAAAACGACGCTTACACCCAGTAGTACGCAGATGACGATAAGGGCGAAAATTTTACCCTCACCCCTTTCCCAGGTCAGAAAAATGGACCGTTGTCTGAAATTAATCTAACAAACAAGCAGGTGGAACTGGTGCCATGACCGCTGCTCTACAGAACAACGAGATTGACGTAGCAGTGTGAGCATAATCGGCTAAATTTCTGCTTTTGCCAAACGCCTATGATGTCATCTAGAGCCTTGACGGATGCCTTGATTGCTGGGATAGCAAAAGGTTCCAAAGCATACAACCTAGTCGGCTCGTATGTTCAAACGTCATTGAACTGGTACGTCTATTAGTACCATTGATGTTCCGTGATTACACTCTCACATTCACGCAGGGCGGTTGTTACTGGAAAGAAAAGCAAGTTTCAATCGATTAAGGATCTCAAAGGGACGAAAATTGGCATTTCGCGCATCGGAAGGTCTGTCATATTTTCGTTAACTAGAATCAGACTCAACGATTCTGCAGCGGGTCCCAAACTATGGCGGCTGTGATGTACGTTCGTGACAGTTTTTGAAGGGTATGTAGTTCATCGGATATGACTTCAGGGCAATGCAGAACGAGTGGACCGCCCCAGACGGAAAGGTCGACATTCCTGAATTCCAAGGTAAGATATCGTCTAAAAGCCGTGTACCCAAACAGCTTACCTATCACTAAACTAGTCAACAATGACCTGAAGGGCCTAAATGCTTCAGTCAATGACGGATCAACCAGGTATGCTGGGATTAGCTATTTTTGAGAATTACTTCTGACCTCTTGGCGCAGCGCTTTTCTGTGGGAATGGTGGGCCTCGCTCGTTTGGTTTTGTCCTAACTTGCCGCCCTAACGTGCAAATCGATCAGGTTCACGACGAAACCTCATGTAGACGCGGGAGAGGTCAGATTCGTAAGTATTGCGGCATGACTCAATGTATCAGCGTGGCCCGACCTGTTTTGCAGATAGGCTCCGTGCTCACCCCCTGGCCATCTTGGCTTATCGCAGCCCACCCGTCGCCCGAACGTGCAGAACCAGGAGCACTGCGCAACTTCCTGGGGCATCTAACCGAATATGCTCATAAATTTGACGATGAACGACAACGTGATCAGGCCGACGTCGATTTTATCCGCGAGCGATTCGGGTACCAGGAAAAGGATGTGCGGGACTGGCTGAAAACTGTCCGTTGGGTTGAGGATTGCACAGC